AAACATGTATATCGCCTATCGTGCTATATTGCCAGTCATGTATGCATGTTTAGTCAGATTATGTAAACAAAACATTTCATGAAAATATTAGTTATCGTAAGAGACCTTCATGACCCTAATGTTAGTACCATTTAAGAAATGAGCCAAAGATTCGTGTTAAAGTTTTAACAGTTGTATTGTTGGGACACCACTAACAGTAAACCCAAGCTTTTCAGTCATCAATAAAAATAGCTGGAACGTTTCCGTTAATTCGAAACTTGACATTTCCACAGGGTCATTATTACACCCTGTCCTTTCTTAAAATTACTATCCGTGATGATCCGGGTGGAATAGGGTCTTCAGCGACCAATGCTTGCCGTAAAAGGCGACTATGTTGTCGGAAGAAGCGACCAACGGGATCGGGTGGTCAGGCTCGCTGACTTGGTTGATGCATGTCATCGCATCCCAATTGCGTGGATGTCAATCACTGGATTGTGTGGTCCAGCCTCGATTAATTACAGACCGCCTTCATACAGCTGGAATATTGCTGAGTGCAGCGTTAAACAACAAACAAACACAAAAAAACCTTGGCAAGGGCGGACCCAGCTTTTTTAAGAGGGAGGAGTCCAATAACAAAATCCTCTCTCAGTAGGGGGAAGGGGATGGGGAGTGGTCGACAACATACTATATTTGGTTTCAAATTCCAGGGTTCCAAATACCCCCCCCCCCCCCTCCCCCCACCTCATATTGTGTTTTTCACTGTTACGAAAGTTGTCCTCCGACTCAAAATCCGATTCAGATTTGAAACCATCAAAGCAAATAACACACGGGTACTTATCGTAAACGTGTTACAACAACGTAACTCAATTGTTATAATAATTATTATGTGCTCCTCGTTCAAAACCACAACGACAGAACGCACACCGATTAGCGGATTAATTAATTATTACACTGTCCGTGATTATAAAGAACATATTGTTAACTGAAACAGTTTTTAAGTATATACAGCGGCATGTCTGGTTTCAAGTCGGAAAGCGCACGTTAAATCTTCTATATCAGTCAGTCAGTCAGTTTCAAGTCGACAATCAGTGATTAATAATTCTATAGAGCAAACTGCTGAAGACATAAGACTCATCTGACGGCACATCACCCACCACCGCCGTTTACACCGCGTCACGTTTGATACCATTATGGTAGAATGTAGATACATCTCGTTGTTTTGTTTCAACTTTTATGTATGTCATTATCTATTTAAGCCCTCTAAATTATCTCTTAGAAATATCATTCAAACGCGTTCGTTTCATAAACAAAATCCGAATGTCTAATATCTTAAAACCGCTACCTCAAATGTAAACCCCTGTAGGTTAATAACCTAAATGAAAAGTAATTCATATTCAAAAGGTCAAAGTATTTTCCCAGAATTCTGTACAAGGAAGTACAATCACGTGTCAGCCTTTCCCTCGAGGGACTGTGCAGGCTCACGGTGAACAGTTTATATACGTTTTTGAATAGTCTATCTTTAGCACTCGGCTACAGGACGGTAATGCTCGCTCTGTGACCTGGGTCACACTTACCCCGTCCGTGTTGGTAATTGAGAAAACTGTTATTAGATGAGATGAGATGAAATTGGGTTTAACGTCACGTCCAAGATTATTGCACTTATATAGCGACGTGCATGCACGTGTTTGTGTGTGTGGCTGCTTGTACTAGTCCGGACTGATGCCGATTTATAGTGCTAGCACACTGAGATACCATGCCGCAGTTTAACATGAATACTCCACTCAGATAGAGTATACTGACTCCGAGCCGACCAGTCCTTGTTTTAGCCCCTTAATGCCGAGCACTAGACAGGGTAACAACAAGTACCATCTTTTAACGTCTTTTGGTATGACGCGGCCGGGGATCGAACCCCGGACCTTCCGCTCTCCGGGTGGACGCTCTACCACTAGACCACGGAGGCGGTCGAAAACAGTCATTAAGTGTTCCTGCACTTATCAATCTTTTACAAACTGTTTCTAAGATCATATCCTGGTACGGGTCAAGTCGAGTTATTCCAGGTACAAGTCCGGGTCACGGCTTACACCTGTACATCCGGGACCTGTCTACCTGTGCAAACACACATCACAAAAGCCTGCTACAGCCGTTTTTCCTAGAAACGTCAGATTTATATCCGCAGTACCTTGTAGTTTTAATTGGTGTGTTTAACACCATTTGTGACACGTGACTGCGTTTAATAAATATGTGTTTCGTAATTCACTGAGCGACTGGTCGTAAATGGGTTGCGATTAGATGTGCATGTTTTATATAACTACGAATGGAATACTGTCTAGTTCCGTCCCCCCAATACCAACACGCACCCACACGCACACACACGCACACACACGCACACATATGCACCCACACAAACGTGCCAATCCACACTTAGTCACTTCGACTGCAGTCGCAGACATTCCCTCGAGGTGTCATGCTAGATTGAGATGAGAGTATATTTTATCTAATTTTGCTCATAGATATATGTTCGCGACTATTTACAAAATGATTAATTGATTTTACATTTCCAAAACCGGAAGAATTCCGTATGGCCTGCGTCTCATGTACATACGTTAACGTTATGATCCAGCACTTTGAATTTAACCGTGTTCCTGTCCAACACACACACATACACACACACACATATATATATATATATCTACACATAGGACATCAGCCAAGGCGGGCAGGATTTGCTGAGTCCGGTCAGAAGGTATAGATCCTGGTATATTTTTATAGCTTTGTTTAACCGGACTTTCGAGAAAAGGATATTAAACCGTGAACTATTAAAAGAACTTCAGATTACGTATTTTAAAATAGTTCTCAAACAATGGATAGTTGAATGAGACAATCTTACAGCACCATGTCCTTGGCAAACCGGACTCTGACTATTCCGGACATAATTTATCCGGTTACCTATGTTGAACCTTATTGTATTAATGTAAAATCTGAATTAAAGCATATTTTCTAAAATTCAATCCATCTTATATGAAGGTCGTTATTCAATTATTCTTGTGACAATAAAGGGAATGATTTATTTTAAAAACTGAAATTTGAATGATATTTCGTTCAACCTAAAAGTACATTCTTGCCGATAATTCAGTAACCCGGATCCTAGACATAGGTAACACACATGTGTAATGTTTTAAATAAAACAATTATTGTACATATGTCTTATCCTAACAGCGAGGGGCGTCACTCCTGCTATAAGTTTACTGGCATATATGGGGCGGTCGGGTAGACTAGTGGTTAAAGCGTTCGCTCGTCACGCCGAAGACCAGGGTTCGATTCCCCACATGGGTACAATGTGTGAAGCCCCTTCTGGTGACCCCCGCCGTGATATTGCTGGAATATTGCTAAAAGCGGCGTAAAACCATACTCACTCACTAGCGGTATACCTGTCTTGTGCGCAAGCAGTGTAGGTCAGCTCACGGATATAAATACATTCTATTATATGGTCTAGCATGGCACCTTTTAACAAGTTAATGTATTCGAAAGTAGCATATCACTAGCAGATATAGGAGCTTACAGTTTCATTCTCGTGCAGTTTGCGTGTACAATTTAAAGGATTCAACAACGTATTAATTAAGGAAGAGAATGTATGCAAGTCAACTTCTTTATTATGAGGAACACAACTTGTTTGATAGGCATTACTTAGAAGTTGGCGGATGACAAGATAGGTACAATTTTATGGATAACAACTACTTTAATACTGGGGCGGTCCTTTTACAGTATTAAAGAAGTTGTTATCCATAAAATTGTGTCTATCTTGAGGAACACAACGTTTCGGGGTATATGCTTACTCCTTCATCAGGTGAATACATGCTTTGAGGCTGAGAGCATATATATGTACATGTAAGGACAACAAATTAATAAGATAACAAAAGGTGGAAACTAACAAGGGAAGCCAACAGATGATTGGCGCTGATAGGTGATTAGCAATAGACAATGGAAGCCGACACCTTACAGTAATTAGCGATAATAGTTATGGACAACTGGACATATTAATTTCTGTTCTTTTCACTTTAATTTGTGATTCCTCGGAGTCGAAATAGTCTAATTGGCGGTGTTTGTTTTTCATTGAACCAGCTCCGATTTCCAATGTGTTGTATTTCCACTCGATGATGTATCATATTTAATTTGTTTATGTTGTTTTACGCCGCACCCAGCATTATTCCAGCTATTAAAAAGGCGGTCTGTAATTCATCGTGTCTGGAACAGACAACCAGTGATTGACACCATGAGCATCGATCCACGCAAATGGGATACGATGACATGCATCAACCAAGTCAGCGAGCCTGACTTCCCGATCCCGTTAGTCGCCTCTCACGACAAGCATAGTCGCCTTTTACGGCAAGCATTGGTTGCTGAAGACCCTATTCTCTACCCGAATCATCACGAATAGTAATTTACGGAAAGATTTCAACGGGTCTCGGTTATGTATCCTAATAAAATGTACATACGTTACACTGGGTAGTCCAGCTACTTACATCCCTATCTGTGTATTTTTGCTATTACGTTTGCTATTGCAATAAGATTCACAGAAACGCCTGTTCTTATTATTGGCTATTTATACGGGGCACGGGTGGCCTAGTCGTGCAGCTGTGCAGAGTTATGTACCCTGGGCACGCCAGAAACCGATGATCGTGGGTTCGAATTATATTATTAGGGTTGCCAGCACCATTCCCGTGGATTTTACCAAAGTGTTACATCTGAGACCTGTATCACGTCAGCCTTTCCTCCCTTATCAAGCGCCGTGATATAACTGAAACACTGTTAAATCAAAATCAGCCACTTACTCTGTTCACAGACCTCGAGCAGTACCCCGACAGCGACAACTACAAGGATGAGCTGAGGCTGACCGGGTCAATCGGAGGACCTGCGCCAACTGGTATCACCCTGGAGGTCATGAACGACTTCCGGCTCTTTGATCCCCGGGAAGTGTTTGAGTTTCAAACCGAGGCTGTGACCGGAAAGAACTTGCTGAAGCTGGTGAAAGCCGTAGACAGAGACGTACGTAAAGTAGAAATTTTGCCATGGCAATCACAACCATGACTTTCATGACTTCATGTCATGCACAGCCACTGACTATAATGTTTAGTGTGTCGTTTAGAAACGTTGGCATGAATTAAGGTATTAATCCTTTCATTGTTATAACCGTTGCACAAACTTGGTATCATCAACATTTCATTATCGATGAACGCTTGTGAACAAGTAAACACTAAAAAGTCAATTTGATCAAAGGGTCGAAGTTGCCAAGTCGTTCAAGGTTCCCCATTAGCTCGGCAGAGTACGTCATTAGTCATGCGAGGATCCTGTATGCTCGTGGGTTCGAATCCAACTTGTTCCCTGATTATGATTCCGGGTTTTTCAGCACCATATTGACACCTAGGTGATAAACATCTGAAACCTGCATGACTGCTGACACAGTTCGACATTACCATGAATTTGAGCGTTGCCAGGATACAACTTCTTTGTATATTCAGCGTTGACTTAATTCGAATTTCGTCGTCATTTTTCTCACGACTCCACGAACATGCCATGAATTCCAGGAAAGCGGAAAAAACACCGGGTGTTTGAAATGTGTAATTATCCAACACCTCAGATTTTGGCCACTGTTTAGAATTCATATTTCGTCATATTTGTTATCATTATTGTGTTTCACAATGTTGACTGGGCTACCACGAACTGGAGTGTTATGCCAAGTTAATGTACTGTATTTGTGAACTGGTTCCATTCTCCCCACAGGGACCAACTGATGCTCTAGATGACGACGTCAACATGTTCACCTTCACCCTCAAATGTTCCCCTGTCGCCAACACATCAATAGAGGTGAGAGACGTAATTGTATAATTGCTGACCAATGAAGATCCGGGATTGAATAGGTCTTCAGCAACCCATGTTGCCGTTAAAGGCGACTATGCTTGCCGTTAAAGGCGACTATGCTTGTTGTAAGAGACGACTAACGGAATCGGGTGGTCAGGCTCGCTGACTTGGTTGATGCATGTCATTGTATCCCAATTGCGTGGATCGATGCTCATGATGTCAATCACTGCATTTTCTGGCCCAGACTCGATTATTTACAGACCGCCGTCATATAGCTGGAATATTGCTGAGTGCAAGCAAGCAAGTATAATTGCTTTTAGATAATTCACATTCACTGGTGAAAGACATAAACTACACGTTGGACTTTAATCACAAACACCATCACATCTGTCCCGGTAGTATCGCGATATCATGCGGGATTTGTTTGTCTCCAGGTCTACTATGACGTCAGGATTCAGGTCATGGACGTCAACGACAACTTCCCCCGCTTTGTAGGAGCTCCTTACAGCGCCACAATCAATGAGGTAGGTACCCAAACTCAATCGCAGTGCCGCCAGATGGCGCTAGTATCTCGCCACGTCTGATACTGAAGTAGCAGTGACAATGGCGGCGCTGTAGGTGCTTGATCGGATATGAACCCACGACTAGCAGTTCCTGTTAGCCAAGGGACGTAACTCTGCACAACCGGTTGCGAAACCTTTCACTACTGGCTCAGCCCTGTCCTCAGGAGTAGGACGTGAGGTGAAATGGGGCTTAACGTCGCGTTCAAAGTTATTGCACTGATATAGCGACGTGCATTCACAGTGTGTGTGTGTGTGTGTGTCTGTGTGTGTGTGTGTGTGTGTGTGTGTGTGTGTGTGTGTGTGTGTGTGTGTGAAGAAAGAAGTGAGAGGGTAAGTTTGTTTACAAGTTATATCAAGCATCTGACAATAACCCCTTTGGTGAAACCTATAAACATTGGTATTGGTGCTGACAAACCTGGAAACATAATCGGGGCTAAACGAGATTCGAACCACAATTTTATGTTTCTTGGCATTCCCAAGGGCCACCCGTGCCCCTAATAGAAAACAATACCACAGCCGATAATACGCTCTGGATGATCTCCTTTGTCTCTTCAGCTAACCCCAGTGGGATCGACCATCCTCCGCGTGTCTGCTGTTGACATCGACTCCCCAGTGACGAGTAACGTCACTTACTCCATCGTGCCCGCAAACGTGGATGACGGCAGCAGCATGTTTTCTATCGACTCCATAAATGGTGACGTCACTGTCACAGCCATGCTGGACTACGAAGCCTTGTCCCAAGGTCACGCTTACAACCTTGAACTTATGGCCACGGTGAGAGATTTATGTTATTGGGGGAACTGTTAAGTCACTGACAAGTGAGTGAGTTGGTTTTAACGAGACTTGAAGAGTAATTCAGTTTGGGACACCATTTCATTGGGGGCCTGGGATATATTTGACAATACACTTTTCCAGAAAATACTTGAATACTTGGGATTTTACCAAAAACACTTAACTGTTCTTATTTTAATCAGTGTCCTCATGTTGTTGTTTTTAAAAAATAATCATCACCAAAATATTGTTTGTCCTTTCTTTTGTTTATTTATTATACAACAAACATTCTGTTGAGCTGCTGGTGCATGCTAGTACACTTTGGGGGTGCAGTCCTGCGAAGGAAACCGTGACACGATAGACCACATTGTGTAGCCAAATATTTTCTTTACCTGTACCTTAAAGGGCCGATTCCTGGATTACGTTTAAAACCTCCTCGAGAAATATGCTTCAAAATTGTCCGTCAAGATAGTTCAAGGAACAAATCACCTGATCATTTCATGACACACGGTGTCTTTCTTTGCGTCACAGGATGGTGACGTGGATGGCCCCAAGAGCGCCAAGGTGACCGCGATAGTGACGGTGACTGACGGAGATGACCAGGGTCCGGCTTTCGAGTTCGAGGGATGCTTCAGACACAAGGGCGTATGCGCCTGGCCGAAATATACTTCATACGCCAGTCAGATGAAGCTGGTAAGTACCAATACAGCTCAATATGCAGACTAATAGATTTCATTAAATGCTAGTTTGACACCAAGTCCATTGTTGTTGTAATGTGCTAACGTCAGCTAGTATGTTCGTAGGCAGAACCAATCACAGTCTACCCTGTGCCTAACAAGGTCGGCCAGCCAGTCAGCATCAAGGCCAGAGACCTTGACCCTTCTATGTCAGAGGTCAAGTTCTCCATTGCATCAAGTAAGCAAATTCAAAGCAAATGAATTAGGTCTTGTGTGTAGACCGAAATAACATAAAACATGATACAATTCGTGTAATATGATGTGCATGAAAAGAAGTAGTTGCTTATTCGCTATCAAAGGCCAAGAGTACAAAAAATATAACAAAGCCTTTACACATGGACAAGTGGGACAAATGTTATACTATCTCAATAAAATATTTATGTCACATTAAACAGGCAGATTTCCTTTACCTTGTATCATAATATATTGTATGAGCTCTGTACTCTTTGCTGCTGATAGTTGATTGACTATTGTTCCTGATGTATACATGTGGCTGTGATTCTCCTGTTTTCCGTATACAATGGACATAGGGTGTAGTAATTCATAGTTAATTGTATTATGATTACATTTATTGCACTTGAGTAAATCAGTATTGACTCATTGTCATCATAACGAATACTAGCTTATGGCTCAGACATCGGAATTTACATAATATGCGGATAAGATTTTTGTTTGAACAAAACCAAATGTATTTCTCTAGTTCGAACATGCATTTTATGTGTAGAATAAAGATTTACAAATGAGGAAGAAATAATGTTGTCATGCCAATCCTAATTCTCTTTGTCCATGCTATATCCTATTGAAATAAGAATTTTTAAAAAAATATAATTCTTCTTTTCAGCTATTCCACCCGGCTTCGAGTCCCACTTTTCGGTTGCCACGAGTCATGCAAGTGGCGCCTTCTATGCTGCATCAGTGAAGCAGGAGACCGCACTCACCGTCAGCGAAGGTTTCGAGATCTTCCTGAAGGTAACCAGTGAAGTCAACCTATGGGGTCCTAATAAGACTTTTCATGCTACCTGATGGCCCAGTCGTCTAAGGCGCCGCGATTCGCTGTGCAGAGTTGCGTCCCTTACGCCAGAAACCTCTGATTGTGAGTTCGAATCCCGGTTCGCCCCGATTATGTTTCTAGGTTTGTCAGCACCATACCCGTGCTCGTGGGTTTCACCGAAGTGGTAAACGTCTGAGACCTGCATCACTTCGGGCTTTCCTCCAACATTAAGCTGACACGCCGCGATATAACTGGAATACTGTTAAAAGCAGCGTAAAACCCAACCCACTCACTCACTCATGCTACCTGAAAACCGACTTGTCACTCGACGTAAACAAATATCAATGTTGACATGTGACTTACCTTGCCTTTATTATTTGCTTCAATGATCTGTACGTTCTTTTCCCAATTAAGGTTGAATGTTTTATTGGGACTCAAACTGACAGACGCTGTTGTAGAACTAGTTCGTGGCTACGACTAAGGATTTACATATAATTTAAGTCTTAGTCGTGGCCATGAAATATTTCTACAACAGCGTCTTTTCAGTTTGAGTCATAATAAAAAATCAACAGTTTATTTTCACTTAATGAGACAAAGAAAGTACAGATAATTAAAGCAAAACACTACGACTAAGGACGTGTATATGTTTTGACCCCTGAAGATCCGGAGTAGCAACCCATGCTTGCCGTAAAAGGCGACTATGCTTGTCGTAAAAGGCGACTAACGGGATCGGGTGATCAGGCTCGCTGAATTGGTTGATACATGCCATCGATCCCAATTGCGTGGATCGGTGATCATGATGTCAATCACTGAATTGTCTGGTGCCGACTCGATTATTTACAGACCGCCGTCATATAGCTGGAATATGTCTAGGTGCGGCGTTAAACAACAAACATTTGTTTTATTTAGTCATGTATGAGGCCGACTATGTAGTCCTATTCATGTGTTGCTTATTTCTGTTTTCCAGGTGGAAGAAACAAGCAACCACATGAGACATGAAATAGCAATGATATACTTTATGGTGAGTTGAAAAACCCAAACCGTTTTGTTACTTTCAATGACCACAGTGCGTAAACCTCACCACACGCCCTTCACAATATGACATAATGCATGTGCTAATATAATAAGTATTGAATGCGAAACCTAATTGTTGTTCAAGTTCGTATCTATGACATTTATGACAATACTACAGGGAAACTGGTATTGACAATAAGTTTTTTCATACAACTAAATTCTACACAATTCGATGCTGTCGACAAGTTATGACACCAAGCGTTACCCTATATGGACACCACCCACTTCCCAACTGTACCGGTGCATGTTATTGATATTATTGCTGTCCATCTGAAAAGGCTACACCCCTTCTCGTCCATATGCAATGTTGACACAATTAAATGTTAAAAAACATTTTAATATTCTGATTTGGTATTTTATCACAACAGGGCCAAAACAAGGGAGGATCCTCCGGAAGTCAATCTACACAAAAAACTGCTTCAGGAACAGACAGTCAAGGTGGGTGTTGTTTTGTTTGTATTCAGAGGTTACAGAACTTAAACGTCATCTCCCATCTTCCCGAGGCAAGGGAGGTAACTGACTTAAAAGTGTGGACTTTTACAGTCAGTTAACTCCCTTGCCTCGGGAAGATGATCGTCTCTACACAGGACATGGCGTCACTCTAGACGACCACGACTAACAACCCCTCTCCTGGTTCCTTCCAGTTGGTGACCCTGGCAAGTCTCCAATCTCTACCGGCGGCACGTCTGAAGAGACTCTGGCCCTGATCGTAGTTGTCGCCATCTTGGCTGCATTTGTCGTCTGCCTGACAATTGCGTTCTTCTGCTACATTTCTAGAAGACGGGACACTAAGGGGAGCAAATACATCCACGAGTCCCGCCAGACGGTACGCTAATACCCAGATACAATGTGACATTTGTACTATTCTTACCATTCGCTACCATTTCAGAACATGTGAAATTGTATAAACAATGAAAACGTTATTTTGTTATAGTTCGGGTTGTTTGTCGTTTTGTGCTTAATGTTTCCATTCGTGATTGCTTGGGGCGTAGGCGGGTAGTCTAGTGGTAAAACATTCATTCATTACGTCGATAACCGGTTCGATTCCACACATCGGTAATATGCGTGAAGCCCATTTCTGGTGTCCCCCGCCGTGATATTGCTGGAATATTGTTAAAAGCGGCGTGAAACTATACTCACTCACTCACTCATGACTGTTCATATTTTTCGATTCAGGGAACAACCAATCCAACATATTCATATGAATAGCTGAGGGTGCTGCCTTAGGCAGTGCATGTTGCATGAACGGTTGACATATTTCACAGATCACGTGACTGACTTTCAGACTGGCGGACAACGGAATGGCATATCCTCCACTCAAATGTAACCATAGTAACCACCACTTACTACTCAGGAGCAAGCTGTTTTGTCCTCTTGCGGACATGGCCAAGTTCAACAAACAGGAATACTGGATTGACTTACCCACAGTGAATATATGTCATAGTTACAACCGTCAGAAGAACAAGCCCCATGATGCCAACGCCACACCCAAAGTTCAGAGATGGAAATGTGTACATACGTAGCATGCTAGTATTTCCTGGCATGTGAGAGATTTCCAGAAACTGAACTACTTACATCACTGATACCATATTTACAGTCTGCTCCGGATGTTACGAACTCCAAGGAATCTCCAAACTAGCTACAACTGTTTAACTGTATGTTAAGGAAAAGTAATCCCCAAAGTCGTAGCAATATGGTCGCTTTGTGCAGTAGGCCCTGGGATCGTTGTAATCGAATATTAGTTATATCCGACTTCGATATATCCGGAGTTTGTCCTAGAAACATGGGCGTGTGGCACTGTATTTACAAAGCCTTAATGTATGCTAAAGCAAGCTGTACATAATCTTTTATGCATGGAATGTATATTCATGAGTTGAATATACAAATCGTGTATATATAATTATTATTATCTGCTGCGAAGGGGACACGGGGTGATGTGAATTATCGTTGTGCTGTATCAGTTGTGACAACTGGTTTTGTCCTGAACACAATCGCCAGCTGTGACCAGTCGATTAGTTGTACGCCGTGTTTCCTGTGCCTCTGAAATAATTCATGTGAAGCAAACGAAAAAACGCAGCAGGATGCTATCAAACTACCGGTAGACAGATTCGGGTAGCATTCGGCATTTCTCGTGTCATTCCGGGACAGCACTTCTCACCCAGCCATCTTTTAATTAGGAATAGACCTTATTAAACCATCAACTGCTATTGACAGAATATTAACACGGTTTAAGCTGTTGGATATACTAATGTTAGTGTCAGTGCCATAGAAAATGTAAGTACAATATCGCCATTTAAACAATATGTATTTGTTAACTCGGTCGGTTTTTTAGACTATGGCCGATCCAATTCATTGCTGAGTATTTTATACTGCTACTTGGCACTGTGATAAATTGTACATTGAATGTGCCTACGGGTGAAACGCCCGGTATCGCCGAGAGAGATGAAAGGGTTAATCAGTGCATTAATCCATGCCGCCATGTACATTTTTTTCTGTGGGGTTTCAATGTTTTGTTTGTTATTCGTGTCATAAATAAATGTATTACTGAAGTATTACATCACTTTGATTGTCATCGTAGTGCTCTTTTAACCAGTGTATTGCAGCCGACTTTGTTTATGTTGTAAGCACTGATATTTCATCAAATTTGTACATTTATATATATTTTTGAAATAAAATTAATTCTTATTCCACTTTTTGTTTTATATTTTACATGCACCTTTTAAGCAATGCTATATGAAACCTATACGCTGGTGTAAGTATTTGGACCGCCTCCGTGGTCTAGTGGTAGAGCGCCCGCCAGGAGAGCGGAAGGTCCGGGGCTCGATCCTCGACCGCGTCATACCAGAAGACGTTAAAAGATGGTACTTGTTGTTATCCTGTCTTGCGCTCAGCATTAAGGGGCTAAAACAAGGACTGGTCGGCTCGGAGTCAGTATACTGTGTCTGAGTGGGGTATTCATGTTAAACTGCGGCATGGTATCTCAGTGAGCTAGCACTATAAATCGGCATCAGTCCGGACTAGTACAAGCAGCCACACAAACACACACACGTGCATGCACGTCGCTATATAAGTGCAATAATCTTTGACGCGACGTTAAACACCATTTCACCTCACCTGTAAGTATTTGAAATTCCTGCACTTGAAGCTAATGGATTAGAGAATGGGAAGTAAATTGATGCATTGTCACATAATTCAAAGTTTGTTTTATTTTTTCCCCGTTTGACGTGAAATGCGGCGTGGACATGGTGTGTATTATTAAGACGCCTTGAATTCCAGCGTTCATTAGACTTCCCTAGAATAGGCACACGTAGAAGGCACCGGCAACACGAACCCCGCTTGCACAATCACGTCAACTTGCATTAAGTCAATTCGGCCTCGCAAAATGCACATGGGTGCACTCGATAGCAGCTATTTTTTGCTCGGCGTTTTGAAACAATATTTCTGCATTTAGAACACAAATATTGTTTCTCCATTATACGACATTGGTTTTGCTGTTGTGTTAACTTGCGCAACGGTGTCCCTGATGGGCATACAAGATACGCTGGCCCTGAGACGGGAACACACAAGTGTCGACAGGAATACACATGGACGTTGACGCAACACCAGTACGTGGAAGGCGAATATATTTCCTAGAGTGATCTCAGGGTCAGCGCCTTGCAGTATTACAGTACATGTTCTGTGTAAGACCCGAACAGGTGGGTCACACTAGTCTTGTTGGTTTCTTATGCTCTCATCTGAACTCGAAGTCGTTGCTGACATTGTGGGCCATATGGCCTAAAACATTAGGTCTGTTCACTATGATCTACTCCGTAACTACTCGCCACAGGGTGTGTGTGTGTGTGTGTGTGTGTGTGTGTGTGTGTGTGTGTGTGTGTGTGTGTGTGTGTGTCTCTCCTTGTACCAGTCCGGACTTATGCTGAATTTATAGTGCTAGCTCACTGAGATACCATGCCGCAGTTTAACATGAATGCCCCCCTCAGACACAGTATACTGACTCCGAGCCGACCACTCATTGTTTTAGCCCCTTAATGCCGAGCGCCAGGCAGGGTAATAACATGTACTATTTGTTAACGTCTTTTAGCATGACGCGGCCGGGGTTCCAACCCCTAACCATCCGGTCTCCGGGTAGATGCTCTACCACTAGACCACGGAGGCGGTCACATGCCATGTGAACAGTGACATAACCCGTGAGTGATTGTTCCGGCTGTGACCTGCGGTACGTCAAGATATAGGTAAACACGCACAAAACAAACACCGCAGCGACATCTCACGATCAGGAATAACGTTGTACGGGGCTTCGTTTACGCCAAGAGAGATCTAATTACTCCCTTGTGGCCATATATCCGAAACCATTCCGTGTGAATCTCCGTAGTTAACATAAGATTATACGAACTGGCATGGGGACTTTCGGTTTCCGTTGTAAGCACTGTGGCTTCACCTTCGTCACTAGGGTTTCTACTCTCGTCACTATAGTTTTTGTTTGTGCTCACGTCACTAGTATGGTTTCTGCTGACGTCACTAGTATGGTTTCTATTGACGTCACTAGTATGGTTTCTACAGACGTCAGTAATCTGGTTTCCATTGACGTCACTACTCAGGTTTCTGCTGACGTCACTAGTATGGTTTCTACAGACGTCAGTAATCTTGTTTCCACTGACGTCACTAGTATGGTTTCTACTCACGTCACTAATCTGGTTTCCATTGACGTCACTACTCAGGTTTTATGCTGACGTCACTAGTATGGTTTCTACTGACGTCACTAATCTGGTTTCTACTGACGTCACTAATCTGGTTATACTGACGTCACTAGTATGGTTTCTACTGACGTAACTTATCTGGTTTCTACTGACGTCACTAGTATGGTTTCTACTGACGTCACTAATCTGGTTATACTGACGTCACTAGTATGGTTTCTACTGACGTAACTTATCTGGTTTCTACTGACGTCACTTATCTGGTTTCTACTGACGTCACTTATCTGGCTTCCACTGACGTCACTAGTATGGTTTCTACTGACGTCACTAATCTGGTTTCTACTGACGTCACTAGTATGGTTTCTACTCACGTCACTAATCTGGTTTCCATTGACGTCACTACTCAGGTTTTATGCTGACGTCACTAGTATGGTTTCTACTGACGTCACTAATCTGGTTTCTACTGACGTCACTAATCTGGTTATACTGACGTCACTAGTATGGTTTCTACTGACGTAACTTATCTGGTTTCTACTGACGTCACTTATCTGGTTTCTACTGACGTCACTTATCTGGCTTCCACTGACGTCACTAGTATGGTTTCTACTGACGTCACTAATCTGGTTTCTACTGACGTCACTAGTATGGTTTCTACTGACGTCACTAATCTGGTTTCCACTGACGTCACTAGTATTGTTTCTACTGACGTCACTAATCTGGTTCCTACTGACGCCACTAATCTGGTTTCTACAGACGTCACTAGTATGGTTTCTACTGACGTCACCTATCTGGTTTCTACTGACGTCACCTATCTGGTTTCTACTGACGTCACCTATCTGGTTTCTACTGACGTCACTAATCTGGTTTCTACTCACGTCACTAGTATGGTTTCTACTGACGTCACTAGTATGGTTTCTACTGACGTCACTAGTATTGTTTCTACTGACGTCACTAGTATTGTTTCTACTGACGTCACTGGTATGGTTTCTACTGACGTCACTAGTATGGTTTCTACTGACGTCCCTTGTATGGTTTCTACTGACGTCACTAATCTGGTTACCACTGACGTCCCTTGTATTGTTTCTACAGACATATGTAATCTGGTTTCTACAGACGTCACTAGTATGGTTTCTACTGACGTCACTAGTATGATTTCTACTGACGTCACTAGTATGGTTTCTACTGACGTCACTAATCTTGTTTCTACTGACGTCACTAATCTGGTTATACTGACGTCACTAGTATGGTTTCTACTGACGTAACTTATCTGGTTTCTACTGACGTCACTTATCTGGTTTCTACTGACGTCACTAATCTGGTTTCCACTGACGTCACTAGTATGGTTTCTACTGACGTCACTAATCTGGTTCCTACTGACGCCACTAATCTGGTTTCTACTGACGTCACTAGTATGGTTTCTACTGACGTCACCTATCTGGTTTCTACTGACGTCACTAATCTGGTTTCCACTGACGTCACTTATCTGGTTTCCACTGACGTCACTTGTATGGTTTCTACTCACGTCACTAGTATGGTTTCTACTGACGTCACTTATCTGGTTTCTATTGACGTCACTTATCTGGTTTCTACTGACGTCACTAATCTGGTTTCCACTGACGTCACTAGTATGGTTTCTACTGACGTCACTAGTATGGTTTCTACTGACGTCACTAGTATGGTTTCTATTGACGTCACTAATATGGTTTCTACTGACGTCACTAGTATGGTTTCTACTGACGTCACTCATCTGGTTTCTACTGACGTCAGTAATCTTGTTTCTACTCACGTCACTAGTATGGTTTCTACTGACGTCACTCATCTGATTTCTACTAACATCACTAGTATGGTTTCTACTCACGTCACTAGTATGGTTTCTACTGACGTCACTAGTATGGTTTCTACTAACGTCACTAGTATGGTTTCTACTGACGTTACTAGTATGGTTTCTACTGATGTCACTGGTATGGTTTCTACTGACGTCACTAGTATGGTTTCTACTGACATCCCTTTTATGGTTTCTACTGACGTCACTAATCTGGTTACCACTGACGTCCCTTGTATTGTTTCTACTGACATATATAATCTGGTTTCTACAGACGTCACTAGTATGGTTTCTACTGACGTCACTAGTATGATTTCTACTTACGTCACTAGTATGGTTTCTACTGTCGTCACTAGTATGGTTTCTACTGACGTCTCTCATCTGATCTCTACTGACGTCACTAGTAAGATTTCTACTGACGTCACTAGTATGATTTCTACAGACGTAACTAGTATGGTTTCTACTGACGTCACTAGTATGGTTTCTACTTTCGTCACTAGCATGGTTTCGTCTGACATCACTAGTATGGTTTCTACCGACGTCACTAGTTTGGTTTCTACTGATGCCTGTATGGTTTCTTCCGTCGTTGGTTGGCGTTCATGTCATTACTCTGTTATCCAGCATGGACCAACTGCTGGACGAGCCGACTGGACCAACTGCTGGACAAGCCGACTGGACCAACTGCTGGACAAGCCGACTGGACCAACTGCTGGACAAGCTGACTGGACCAACTGCTGGACAAGCCGACTGGACCAACTGCTGGACAAGCTGACTGGACCAACTGCTGGACAAGCTGACTGGACCAACTGCTAGACAAGCTGACTGGACCAACTGCTGGACAAGCCGACTGGACCAACTGCTGGACAAGCCGACTGGACCAACTGCTGGACAAGCCGACTGGACCAACTGCTGGACAAGCTGACTGGACCAACTGCTGGACAAGCTGACTGGACCAACTGCTGGACAAGCTGACTGGACCAACTGCTGGACAAGCTGACTGGACCAACTGCTGGACAAGCAGACTGGACCAACTGCTGGACAAGCTGACTGGACCAACTGCTGGACAAGCTGACTGGACCAACTGCTGGACAAGCTGACTGGACCAACTGCTGGACAAGCCGACTGGACCAACTGCTGGACAAGCCGACTGGACCAACTGCTAGACAAGC